ACGGCCGCGAGCCCCCGCGATGCGCCACCAGCCCGCGATGACCTCCCGGCGATCTGACCTACAACACGACCAGCCTGACGCGACCCGATCGTGCTCCCCACATGTTCGTGTGCCAGTCCCGGTCATCCCGATTCTGCCATATTTAAAAAAATTTAAGCCGTAAGTTTCCTACATCAAACATTTAGATTCGCTGCGCATAAGTTTATGTTTGCTATGAATTCGTAACTTGTACATAACGAGATCCTCATATATCCCAACAAATTCAGGTGACCTCAGGACTTCTGTTATATTATCTTACACCTTTTCGTATGTCTTGGCGGGCGACGAGATGAAGAGCTCTCGATTGGTCTTCTAAAGTATGTAATGTTGTGGTGTGCTCTAATCCCAAGACAAGTTGTGTATTTATAGACTACAACAGAGATCCTTAGGAGGTGCCAAATATGAGCTTCCCAAGTATGGGCCTATTTGTGGGTCAAGCTCACTCTGCTCATACTAGAACGATACTTCAGTCCACTAAAAAATATCGTTGCACTTCCTGCTTGGCTCCCAAGTTACATTTGAGACTCCCATAATACTTACTCAATTTATCTTCCCGTGTTTAAGATATAATGTCCGTCATTTAATTTAGTTAATAATAATATAACTAATTGAGTTCTTGTGTCGAGACTAGTACCACTTAATTCTTTATTATTAGTCTTAAGGGTTAAGAGTACACAGTAATTAAACCAAGATCTAGTTTGTTTACTCAATCAACATAAGACAAACTTGTCCTCTCTAGGATCCGTTCAATACACAAATGGTACTAGTGCAACCAATCAGTCAAGACAGACTGTACTGTTAACAATATAATCTTTCACGATAGGTCATTCATTTTCAACTAGGTTGTGAACCTTATTATTTATGTTTTACAAGTAACCAACATGTGATCTTCTGTCCATCAGTGATAAACCACAATATCGAAATGTATAACATCAAAACACAAGATAATTTAATTTAGCATGATTTTTATTTACCATAAAGATAATGTTTATTACGCAAAAAATAAGATTTAAGTACTAACATGTATGTAGATGTATGTATATCCGATAGTTGGAGGATGTAGAGATTTGGCAGTTGTACCTCAGTCCACATTTCTAAGGGGAATACCTTGGTGCCCAAGATTTAGTTGGCCAGGCTGCCTATCTGTCCCGGTCAGCCTACCCGTAACCGTCTCGCTGCCCGACATTTAAACTTATCCCGATCTCATCCTCATCATTATTATTTCTGATTAGATTCCCGTCTACTTTCATTAGGTCTTTTTTGACCCAGGTTTTCGAGTGCCCACAGATCTCAAAGTATCGTCGGGTCGTATGCCCTTATATCGTCATGTTGGAGGTCGGCAAACCTCAGTAGTTTAGATCGCTCAGTTGAACCACACCAGGTTTCCTTGGTTTAAGTCGTGACCTCCTTACCATGTCTCCCACCAAACCTCTAGTCGATTCAATCCTTCTCATGTATACATGATTCTCTCAACAAGTCGACGAGGCTCACTCTCGACCAGTTGACCTGTTTTACTTAGTGGCGGTCCAGCCTAGCCGGATGGTGGCTATATTATAACTAAACTTAAACTATCCCCTAAAATATAATTTGTTTCTAAACTCTAAAAAAGCCGATGATTTCATTGACTATTTTACTTCTCTATATATTTAATCAATACCATTGTACTAAGACATTATATGATATCAATTATGACTTCATAGGAAAATTGCACCATTCATTTACTTTATCATTTCTCTTTTCACCTTTTTCTTTTCTTTTCATTTTTAATGGAACCATTTACCTCGATTAAAAATCAATAGTGAGTTGCCACATCAGTTTTTTTGTTTTTTTTACATACATTTTTTCAAAATACTTCTTGTGCATGTCGTTATCAACAATAGATTTGTCAACAAAGTCATTTGTGTTCAACAATGGTTATTTTTTTGGTTTAGAAAGAAATTTGGAGACTTCCCTTTGACTGTTGAAAGATGAAAAAGTATAAACTAATCTCAAGTCATACATCAAGATTTCTTCTAAGCATATGGAAACTTCACATCAAATTCTATGCATGACAAAAAGTAATAGTTTTTTTTACCAAACCCACCATTTGAATTTTTGTCAAAATTAACCGACCCTTTTACAGGCAACTGAGGGGTTAAAAAATAACCAAACAAAAAAAGCTTGCAAGGCTCTGAACATGTGCTAACAAAGTTTCTGAAAACTGTACTAATGAAAAAACAACAAAGTGCAAATCCTTAAGCAGCATTGATCTGCCACAACTTCTCCACATTATACCAATAACAGTAAAAGAAAAAAACACCACTAAAACTAGTTTAACAGTTAACATCCCCAAAGAACTTCCGGCATCCTCGCCAATAATGTAGCCCGTACCATGCTCGACTCAAGCAAACTAAAGTTTAAATTAAAAGATAGGACAAAGTAAGTCCCCATTCAATAGCTCACTCACTTGCGCTAAATATATTAACAAAACGCACATTAAACTCTCAAGTCTGAAACTGTATCATACGGAGAGAATCTTTGTTGTTTAGCCATGTCGTATTCCCATGAAATAGTTGAAATCATGGTGTTGGACCCGTAGTTGCTTTAGCCAAGAATCTGCCACGCTCAAAAGTGACCCGATTCTTTCCCGATCATGCCCGTTTTTGTCCGATACCCAAACATCGCCTTGCATCTTGTAAGTGGCCAACCCAAATGGAGGGAGTGAGATGCTTTCCCCTTCCTTCCTTTTCCTCTTCACATCGTTTTCCAAGTCCATATCTGTCATAATTACCATGTTTTAATTCTTTTTTTTTTTAGGTATATTAGAGGAGGAAATAAGACCTTTGCCAATAAGAAATATATGGCTCATACCTTGAAAGGAAGAAGAAAGTGTATGGTAGGTGAGGAAGCAAGTTTGCAAGTCTTTAATAGTTCTGCCAGTAGGAATATGATAGATAGGGTACCTGGATATTTTTCACTTAAATAAGTTTATCGTAATTTCCAAAACCATACAGCTTCGACAAGTAAAGCAAGACTAACCAGGCAACTGCCATCCAACTAGCAGGCGAAAGATCTACACTTCTCAAAGACATCAATCCAGGGTATCTTTGAGCTAAGCTACTAATCTGCAAGAGAAGACAATAAATGGTTTGAAACATATTTGTGTCGACTCCACTTGAAGTAGATAAATGTCTCACATAGAAATTGTTTTTAGCTACTGTAACATGACATAATAAAAAAGAAATATCAAGAAATGAAGGCAAGAATCTATTCTACAAAACAAAAAAAAAAGCGGGGGTTATTAACCACACAAGCAATAAATGTCAAATCAAAGGAATAAAGATGGTCTACAATGGACTGGGATAGTATTCTGATTAGGAAATGGCCAAAAAAGAAGAAGTATGTCGGTTCGTCTATGCCGAAAGGGTTCAAATGCCTACCTACATAAGTGTTCAAATGCAATTCAATATTATCCATGAAGGTTGCGTGTCTCCTTTTATTGATTCTTCAGTATCACTAGCAATTAAAGCAGGACTGGATAATATCAAAAATTTGAAAAACGAAAAACTTGCATCAATATGGCTAAGTGTAACAGCCAAACAAGAAGAAAAAAAAAATTACCTTGTCCATTAGAGGAACCCTACCATATGGAGATGATCTCTCAAAGTATTGAAGGTAAAGATTACCCAATCTATCATTCGGAAGCCAAAAACTGTCCTGCTCGAAGACACCTTCTTCAGAGGAACATCCGTCCCACCTTGATAACTTTTCGCATTCACTCTCGTCGCTGAACGAATCACTAAATGAGTCCCTTGTCTCGCTCACAGAGTCGATCTCTTCTCTATTATCCCAAATTCAAATGATGATCAAATAAGACAAGGGTGTTCATCTTTTGAAAAACTTCACGTGTCGCATCTCTCAGAAAAATTTAGCGTTTATAATCCAATACAAATGTGACAAATTATAACAAAAGACATATCAATTGACCCCAGACCAACTGAATTACGAATTATAACATTCAATCAGAGTTAACAGAATGAATGTAAACCAAAACAATAAAGCAAAAGAAAAAACTGGAGGCAAATGAAATATTCATCATCATCGTTATCATCATCATCATCATCATCATCATCTACATATGTCATTATTACCTCAGACAGTTTACAGATGAATTGCTGGTGAAAATTTGAATAGCGGAGAGATACGGCACGAAATATTGGATTAGATTTTGGCCGTCTCCCGAAGTGATTGGAATACCAGCACCATAAGCGCTCCATTCATCAAAACTATTCCAAAGATCACCAAGTACAAAGTAGTCCACCTTTTCTGTTTCCCAAGGATGCCATAGCCTATTAAGCTTCCTACTCTCGCTCTATGCCACCACAGATAACACAGGTAACACACATACATATCAGAGAACACGCCATGAATAAATCATCAAACCATTAAAAAACACAACCTAAATAAATTGAATTATTACAACCAAAAAGAGTACATACATACAATTGACTATACAAACCTGGGACAAATATAACATATATAAGATAAAAGACGATTCATGATCTTGTAAAGAATAAGGAAAAAAGAGGAAAACCTTGGAGAGGAATTGAGATGGGACGAGGGGCGTTGTGCAATCCAAGAAGCTTTCAAGGTTTGTTTGCATTGAAACCTTGTTGTCGGAGATCAACATAATTCGGAGAGAGAAAGAGAGGCACCCAACAAGTTTTTGCTCTGATTCTCTCTCCCAACTTTTTTTTCAGAAATAAAAAAACCCAGAAAGAAGAGAGGAAGGAAACAAAGGAATGAATGAATGAATTTAAGGGAGAGAGGAAGAGAGAAATTGACGGGATTTTCTCTCTCTCTATATGTGAGAGAGAGAGAGAGAGAGAGAGAGAGAGAGATAAAAGGAAAAAACGAAAATTGGTCCACCAGAGAAAGATTACTATCCTTTGACGTCTGGACTAATAACCATTGCCAAAAACCGCAAGTCTCTATCACTTGGTATTTTTTCCTTTTTTTTTTTTCTTGTTATTTTTTTCCTTTGCAAGACTCCGTTTTTATCAACCAGATTTCCGATCACCGGCAATCGGATTCCGACCAAAACCCACCAATTTCGTATCTCTTAATCAGATTCTCTCTCTCTTCATAGAAGGGCCAAAAAAAATAAAATAAAAAGAAAAACACTCACCCGTTAAACTCGTGGATTTACTGTTGATGATCGAAACCAACTTTTTATAAATAAACACTCTTCTGTTTCAAAATCGAAGACGACACGCACCCCTGTTTCTAAATTCCAAGATAAACCCCCGCAAATTACGCTCGAATACTGTGAGTTTTCTATAAAAATAAATAAATAAATAAATAAATTTTTGGATCACGCGAGGAGAACAACAGAAGGTCATGCATTTTGTGAACCCCTAAAATTGAAATATATAATCATATTTTTTTTTTTTTTTC